AATTTTTAAAGGTGCAATTATTTAGAGGTGATGAAGAAGTTATGGAAAGGATACATTTTAATTTTCTTCGACGTATAAATCTTTGTATGCATGAAAATGGTAAACATATTGAACAATTTTTGTAAAATCTCTATTTTGATTATGTTGTAAATAAATATTTTTGTGAAACCTATACACTCTAAATTATTAAAACAGAAATTTAGCGAAAACCATGAGAGTAATCGAGTCTTATCAGGAGTACCTTTTTTAAAGTAAATGAGTTGCGCAATCTATATTTCATACTCAAACTCCTTTTCTTCCATTGGCGTAGAATTTTTAAAGGTTCAATTATTTAAAAAATCAAGTTCTACGCCTATGTATTATTATCGAACAAAATTTTAATACCATTTTTTTGCCACATAAAACTCTACCAATACATCAAATTTCAGCAAAATCGCATATGCCGTTTTAAATTTATATGGGAAAAACGATTTAAAAATTGTAACTTCAAGGCCCTCTGGAGCCCAAACGAAGCAACTTTGTACAAAGGTAATTTTACTTAAATCGACTTATTTTGGTCTAAGGAATATGTGGTATGTTTTTGTAAAGACCTTTTACAGACACCCTGTATAATACTTTGAATTTAACCTTAGATATTAATGTCACAATTACTTAAGGCTTTAAACGGCAGTTAAAATAAACTGTTTTTATATTTCTCTATCTATATTTCGCAGATATTGTGTTTTTTGTAATACAATTATTTTTTTTCTTATTAATTAAATATATCTGTTAACCAGATATAGGGTAAATTTCGCAGTCTTGGCGTGTTTTAATTTCATTTCGGATTGGATAGTGAATAATCCTGACTTGTGTATTTTTTATATTTTTTTTTGTGTTTGTTGTTCAGTATGACTTTGTTATATTTAGTTTAATAATTATATTATTTTAATAGAAGCATGTAATTAGGCTACACCTATTTGTTTCTTATAAATAAATTAATAAAGTGGTAACTAAATAATTATATACTTGATGTATTTTATCTATTTACTCTAAGAATATATTTATCATTGATCTGACATCCTGGGAATACGACATGTGTGAGCGCAAAGTGGGATCGGTACCCCACTATTGGGAGTGAAATTTATAAATTTTATAGGTTATCTTGGAGTGGAGTATGGATCGGGAATGAGCATGAGGTGAATTAAATCGATAATAAGATAATTGTGACTAATTCTTAAGTAAAAATGCTTTTTATTTAGTTCCCGCGCATACTTAATATGGAAGAAACTTATACGGTTGTTACTGATAAGTATGATTAAGTTTTAAGTATTAGTATGTCACATTGACAACTAACTTTGAACTCTGAGAGTAAAAGGAGTAAAACCATATGCGCACTTCGTTTACGCCTACTTACTATACTCCACTCTGGAGTGAGGAGCCCTAACTTACCTTAGATGTACTCGTATGTATAGAGGAGGTTTTTCAGACAATTTGCACAAAATATAAAAATAAACTGGCTAGATACAAGCATCGACTTTCTGAAATTATTATTTACTTTCTCCAAAAACGAAGGCATGATGCGGATTTTCTTTTCTTATTGTTCTAAATTTTACAACTTAAATTTTACAACTTAAATTTTACAACTTAAATTTTACAATTTAAATTATACAATGTAAATTTTCTGACTTAAATTTTACTGCGTAAATTTTACCACTTAAATTTTATTATTTAAATTTTACTACTCAAATTTTACTACTTAAATTTTCCAACTTAAATTTTCTAACATAAATGATATAACCTAAATTTTACATTTTAAATTTTACAACTAACATAAATTTTATAGTTTACATTTTAAAAAATCGAACTGTTATATTTTTGGACTAGTTGCTCCCATCAAGAAATTCCCGTTATTAGATTAAAGCAGAACAAATACGGGGTTTTAAACACTTTTTTCTTTCTCCAACCACACAATTTTGGATGGATAAAAAATTAAAATGGTAGGTGCGATTATAAAAGACTAGGGGGACACACATTGAAAATTGTGGGAGCTATAAATATACATTTTAAAGAATGATGGGCGAAAATGGAACGTGGCTTTAAAACTAAGTAAAAGCTTAATTAAAAAATATATGATATGTACAACACATGACCTGTAAAGTTATCAAAAAGTATTTAAAATAAGACTTAGAGATAAAAATGATTCAAAACGTTTTTCATATCTTCACACTTTACATTTTTTCTCAAATTTCTGCCTTACAGTCCATTTTAACACGTTCACTGTCCTAATGGTATTTTTCTGCAAACCGTTACACGTCCCCACTTAAATTTGTACGCGCCATATAAGGCTCGCAGGACTCTGTAAAATAAAACCTTAAATATTTGGCAACGTTTCGCAATCAGCACGTGTTCTGTGTTTCAGCCCGCCAATATTGTTTGGTAGTCTTTCTCGAGCGTGCAAACAGGTTTGTTGTGTTACTCAGTTGAAAGTGTTTCCTCCTAAAAAAATGGCCATGTCCAGAAAAAAACGTAAACTAATCCAAGGAATATCTATCCGAAATAAGTTTTGCCAGTGATTTTGATTCAGACAACACTGTGCCAGACCCGTATTACGGAAATGAAGATGGCGATTCAAGTTCTAATGAAGAAACGGATGATAGTGACATTCAAGATGAAAGTGAATAAGAAACTAGTGAAGTTTCAGAAGATGAAATAAATGAGAGTGATCCCGATTTCTGGTCGTCAACCATACTCTCGTTTTCAAATTCATTTTAGTGCAGTAGGTGGAACAATGATTTAAATTACTCAAGATATGGAACCCATAAATATTTTTAGTTTATTAATAACTGACGACATTATTGAGCTAATGGTCGAACAAACAAATAATTATGCTTTAGAACTTCAACGCAAAAAACGTTTTGTACACTCAACAAGAATTTCTAGATGGAACGATACAGACAAAGAAGAAATGAAAACATTTATTTACTACTTTGATTTTTATAGTGATATCTGAATATGATGTGATTGTGTGTTTCAGGTATGCTCCTGTTTATGGGTCTTATAAACTTCCCTACCATAGAATGTTACTGGAAAAACGACCCATTGTATTACCATGAACTTTTCCACCGACTTTCTATAAAGTATAACCGTTTTACATTGTTGCTCAAATGTTGGCACTTCGAAGACAAAACAATATCTTCAGAAGGCCGCTTGTTAAAAATTGCACACTTGTTTAATCCTGTTAGAAATAACCTAAAAAATGCGAATTCTCTTGGTGATACAGTTGTTGTGGACGAAACCATGGTTCCTTTCAGAGGTCGTCTGAAGTTTTGTCAGTATAATCTATCAAAAGCCCATAGATATGGTATCAAACTATTAAAAGTGTGCTCTCCACTTGATACACTTGGGATCTAAAAATTTATAGTGCCAAGGACTAGATCTTCTTGGAAGTACAGTTGTTGAACTAGTTGATCTCTTGTTAAATGCTGGAAGATTGGTTATAACTGACAATTATTATACAAGCATTGAACTTGCCAAATACTTCTACGAGAGGAAAACAAATTTGTTAGGAACCGTGAGAAAAAATAGAGTAGGCCTGCCCAAAGATGTAATCAACTGCAAACTAAAAAAAGGACAGATATTTGCCAAACAAAATAATTTTATATCATTCTTCAAGTGGCACGATCAACGTCATGTCCATATGCTTTCCACGTGTCATGATCATCAAATGAAAGTTTATGGGAAAAAAAGAAATGGAGATGATAAAATCAAGCCCTCAGCTATAATAGAGTATAACAAGGGAAAGCATGGGGTAGACTAATTATCTAGTTATTACACTTGTCTTCGAAAGTCTTTGGTTTGGTTCAAAAAATTGGCCATTGAAATAATTTGTGGGACACTCATTGTCATTACTTTTATTTTGTATAATTCTGTGCGCCCAGTGAAAGATCAGTCATCAATGATAAAAATTAGGGAATCTCTTATTCGCAGCCTTTTTAAAACAAATAAAATGATGAAAAGGCAAGAAAAGTATGAGGAAAAAAAGCAAGAGTAGTGAGCCCATAAGCTAGAAGAACTACCTAGAGGTAGCGTTCACAAAATATACAGAAAACGCTGTTATGGGTGTTATGCTAAGTTGAGAAATACTCTTACATCAAAAGAAGCATGTAAAAAAAACTGAAAAAGTCTCAACTTTTTGCCGTTTGTACAACCAAGCATTTTGTATTCTTGCTACGCAAAATCATTGATTTTCCCTCAGTTTCCTTTGTATACACTTTTAATAAGAATATTTTCATTATTTTGTAACCCCGTTTTTGATATGCCGTATTTTCTGATAGAATAAAATGTTTTTTTACCATAATGTAGTTTTTCCCTTAGAGTCCTCTTAAAGAAAGCAATAATTTATTGACACAGCCTTCTTAATATTAAGCTATAACAAAACATACATTTACGACCCAGATATGGTTCGCAGGAGTTATAGGTAAATTAATTTTCGATCCATATATGGGTCCTAGGACAGTGAATGTGTTAAAGAAAATCATATGTAAAACAATAATTATGGAGAATTACTTAAAAAAATTTGTTATTTTTCTCATCGGATTCAGACACATAGACAGATAGACATAATCGTAAAAATAGTTAAAACGGATTCAGTGGACCCCAAAACATAAAGATCTGTTTTACACTTATGGTCGAAAAAATCATGGTTCCTATACTTTCCTTACTAGATAAAAGAATGTAAAAATACAGTTATCCAAGTTACACTTAGTTTTAAAAATTTTCAACTTAAATTTTATTTTATAAACTTTACTAGTTAAATTTTATTTTATAAACTTTACTAGTTAAATTTAATTACTTAAATTTTACTACTTAAATTTTACTATTTAAATTTAACACCTTCAATTTTACTATTTAAATACCCTATAGTAGGGTATTAAGAAAATGAAAAATCTTACAAAATTTAAATATAACTTAAGACGAAATAAATATTAAACTATCAAAAAATAAAAAACTTAAATTTTGCTACTTAAATTCTATTATTTAAATTTTAGTACTTAAATTTTAATACTTAAATTTTAGTACTTGAAAGTTACTACAATTTTACAACTTAAATTCTACAACTTAAATTTCACAACATAAATAATATAAAACTCAAATTTTACAATTTATGCCTATTCAAAACGACATTTAACAAATCCGCTACTTCTTTCGCACATCCCAACGATAATGTAACGCCCGCACCTCCGTGTCCATAGTTGTGAATCACTTTTATCGTCTTTTCTCGTCCATTAATTATTGTTTCAATTTTGAGACGAACCTCTTTTCTGGCTGGACGTAATCCGACTAAATGCCTCAAGGTTTTGGCAGAGCTCAACGACGGGGACATTTCAATGCAATTTCTAAAAAGAAGTTCCACCATTTATTTATATGTATCATCAACAAGCGAAACAAAAAAAAATATTTAAATCGACAAAAATCACAAAAAAAATAAATTTTCAAGTCTTTAACGACCAATGAAAATTGGCGCTTCACAATGGCGAGCAAAATGCTGCAAAATAATAGGTTTTAAATTTTTTATTTAAAAGTAAACTCTTAACAGCGCCATAACTTTCTTATTTATTAAAACGTTTAAATTAATTGAATTCCTTTATAATGTTACACAGGTTTTTTGATATCACAATTTATTTTAATTCAACTTTTACAACAATTATACAACTGATAACATTCACATGTAACGTCTATCATAAAACTGAACTCTGACGTCAGGTCGTCGACTTCTATATAGCTTGCCTCGACCTTATAGAACCTTCTCGAACAATCCGGACTTTTCTTTAACAAGGAATGACATTTCGAGACATTTCTGGATTATTCTATCTTCTTTATTTACTCGTACCTTTACTTATGATGACCCCAGGGTGCTGCGTAACAATACTATTTATTACTTACCTTTTTATTGTTTCCTTCTGAGTTTCATTAAAAGATTTGTCAAACGTCTTAATTGCAGTCCCACCTAAAGTGCATTCGTTTGTGTTTGGGATAATATATCCCAATTTTTCATCGCTGTTAATAATTTTAATCAGAAACTGCCACGGTGCTTGGACCTTTTCTATCTGTCCTCTAACTGGCTCTACTGAACTATCACCTCAAAATAAAAACATAAGTTATTTACAAGAGATTAATCATTTGAAGAAGCTCGAAAAATCAGCAAAAATATTAATCATCATCAATGTATTTTATTCTAGAGTCCATTTCAATAGTAAGGAATACAGAGTTGTCATAGAGGTGCCATATATGACGATGACCATAGAAAATATTATATCTGTGATGGAAACAAAATTATTACTTGTTTAAAGAGCAGACAGCGCTCCTTTGGTAGGTGGAAAAGTTGATAATGTTGATAATGTTGAACTTCGTTGGGAAAAGACCCCCGACAAGAGAACACTGTGATAGAAAGTTATGATATTAGATTAAAAAGTGCACGGAAATAACAGTGCCAAATAAACTATTTACTTGAAAAAAATACGACTGTCATAGTTATTTTTTTACTATTTCAAAAAATAAATCAATTACTATAAGTAAAAATATGTTTCTAAACACGTATTTCTGTCACAAGTAAACAAGTTTCCTAAAATGAGGTTGATGTTTTTTGTTAACCCCTAGTAAACAGTAAACTTAACTTAGGCACCAGTTTGTCTACGATAAATGAATAATCTATCTAAAACTGCTTTATTAACCACAAAATCACATATATTTACCATTAGTTAACTTTTACTTATGGTTAAAAAACATTGACTTACGGCGAGTGACCGCTTCAATACACTTGGTTCCCGATCACCACCAAAATATCAACGATTAATCTGATTTCATTTTTGCAATGTCTTTCCTACCGGAAAATCACAGTTAGGGCAGCTTAGGTCGAGGTCATACACCTTTTTCACGCTAAGTATCGTACAGGGTTTTTGAGATAAGTGTAGGTATAAATCAATCAAGTATTAAAAATTTTTCATGAATGTATTAAAACCTCTGCCATTTAAGTATAATAATAATACTATCCCTATGCACCCCCTTACGAGTGAATTTTAACCCCAGAAACGGAGTTTGTGCAGGGTAAGGACGGCTATTATTGTTATTATTTGTCATTATTAATATTATGTAAGTACCTCATATATTTTTTGATACATCAATCGTGTATTTTTGACAGTGATATTTTTAAATCTTTTATATCGTCTCTTTTCATATTTTTGGTAATATTATTTTAAAGCATCAGAGTATTCAAATTTTTATAAATGTCATTAGTACCTATAGCCTATAGTCTAATTAGGGCACTAATAAGGTTTATAAAATCTAGTACTTTCTATATAACAATAATAATGATAAATAATGTTTTAAATTCAAAAGGAAAGACTTGTATTTCGTGCAAAACTTTTTAATTAATAAATGCACAGCTATTTCGGCATTGTGCCATCATCAGTGCTTATCTACAAAAATTGTGGATGAAAACTTACAATTTATAAATATGTGTAAAAATAAAATCCGAGTAAGACTTTTAAGTCAAAAGTTAAAAATATATATATAAAGTAATTTTGAACAAATTAACAATTAAAAGATAACAAACAGAGTGACATAACCCAGTGTTGGGAATAGTGAGTGTGGAATAAGCCCCTAAAAAATCATATCTGATCTCCAGAAGCAAGTTAGCTTGTGTGGAACTAAGGAATTATACTACCTTCACTATTCGTATTGAGTCGTACAGTTGAAAGAAAACAAGTTAACAAATTAGTTAAAAATTTTAAAAAAATTACAATATATTGAAATTTAAATTTAGAATACAATAGTTAATATGAAAAAGGTTAAAGGCAAAAGGCCAAAAGAAAAAATACTGAAGGATTTTTTCCCATTTACATTATAATTGTAAGAAAGTCTACCTACTGTCCACAAACAAGCATATCCACCAAGTTCTTAGTCATCCTCGCTCCAAAATTAAATATTTCTGGAGATTCACAACTTTCTAAATCATAATTAATACTATTAGTAATATTTTCAAATTTAAAATGATTTATACATTCATTTTTATTAATATTGTTTTACCGACTGTTTCCATGTGACAGTGGTGACAAGCGACACTCAAAGACCAACGTCGGTCAAATGTCAAGAGAGGAGGTGCGTTCACCTCAGTGTGGAACAAGTTTCTCCAAGTGTGATTCGAGAGATTGGAGGTAGTTAAAGGAAAGCAAAATTTGTTAGTATTGATTTTAAAGAAAATTTTTCGAAATTTGATTTATTTGTTAGTTAAATTTTATTTAAAATAAATGTTTAATATGAATTGATCTTCTTAATGATCCTTTTAATGTCAAGACAAAACAAAAATATCACTCGCGTGATTCTGCTGTGCCAGCCCGGGCTCTGCAGAACTTTTTTCAGGGAACCCAAGATGGCACAACTGAACCCGCGGTCCCTAGAGGTGAATCTGATGTTTAGTCTTAACAATTCCAAATCACTCAACAAGCGGTTGGAGTGAGACAAAATAGAGAACAAAAAAATAATCATAAAAGTACCATTTTATTTTTACACATATTTATAAATTGTAAGTTTACATTCACAATTTTTATAGATAAGCACTGATGGTGGCATAATGCCGAAAGCACTTTGCATTTATTAATTAAAAAGTTTTCCACAAAATACAAGTCTTTTCTTTTGAATCTAAACTACGTGCACACAGCTGTCAACCTTTTTTGGTTATTTTAATGTTTTAAAGCCTATAAATAATTCAAGATCATATATACATATATAATACCACCCACTAAAACAAAAATAACTTATCACAAGAAAATAGTTAACTAACGGCAAATAAACAACAATCAATTAGTAGCATATTGTGTACTTATAATAAAAAACTAATGTACACTAACCATAAGTAAATAGTTCACTAACTGTAGGTGCGTCTATAAACTAATTAAACTGTTAACTAACCACAATTGGCTATTTTCAAAAATCTTGTTTTACTTACTATAAGTAAACATTTTACCTGTCCCATATAGTATAAAACTTTTTATTTGCGGTAAGTAAAAATTCACTAACGGTTAGTGATTTTTTTTATGTGTGTGAAATACAACAAATGAAAATATATCGTGAAGAAAGAAAAAACATTATTTGCAAGTATGAAACATATTCACATAGTTTGCCCAATCACCCTAATACATTGACAGATAAAATAAATCCTTATTTTTTAAACTTTCAAAACTATACATATAAATAAAGAATGCTTATTATAGTTCATAGGGGAAGGATGAAGGGTTTTGTTGAGAATGAAATTTTGATTTTTGAATTTGGGAAAAAACTTTCATCGAACATTTTATAAAATGTATAAAAATAAAATAGATGAAATAATGACATCACATGATCATTCAGTATTAATATAACCACCGTATCACCCCGAACTAATTCAATTCGATGTACGAGAAATTTGGACAAAGCGCCACACGCTTTTTTCACAATAATACTAGTATTTTCCATTTATTATTGTTTTAAGCTTATTTGAAAAATTATTTTCAATTTTTTAGTTTGATATGCTCTAAAAGCGTGTTTTTTAGTTTTTTTAAAATATATTTATTTTTCACTTTTTAGTTTGATGTATTATAAAAGCATGTTTTTTAGTTTTTTTAAACTATATTTCTTTTTTACTTTTTAGTTCAATTATTAAAAAAAAAAATAAAAAAATTGCACCCGTGGGGATTAGAACCCACGATCGGTGAGTCTGGCCATCGAAAACCCGCGCGTTAGACCGCTCGGCCACGAACGAACTTGACTTTGTGGAATATACTGACAGTAATAAGCCACTTGAGTCCAAAGGAGAGTTACAAACATACATACATGCAGGTGAAGCTAATATAAGCGTGTTAAAAAAAAGATTTTTTGATGTTTTTTCATAAACCTGATAGTTTTTGAGATATATGCAATAAAATGTAAAAAACAAAATGGTGGCATTTTTTTTATTCCATGGGACTTTTAGTATGTTATTTAGAACCTTACTTCTCGTTTATTTTTGTTGAAAAATGCTTGCATAGAATTTTTTCAGTCTCAACATCTAACTTGCCCACACATATGTAAACATACAATTTACAATTATTGTATACTTACTAACAAAATTTCTGGAACCCAATCCGGTACAGTTGACTACAACATCAAATGATGATAAATCATCTAACGAATTAATTTCTCTTATCACAATTTTTCCACCATTTTCCGTAAATTTCTGTTGAAAATAAGGCAGAGCAATGGACGCCTCCCAAGTAAAACTAATAAAAGTAAATCCGTTGTTCAGTTTTAAGTTGTACTTTTGACTCATGTCGTTTAGAGTACTTTGAGATAATTTTTGATAACCCAAAGTTTCGTCCAACCAAGCGGGAAGTCTGAATTCTGTCTCTTCTGTAAAGAACAGCGCTGGCAGTAGACATATTCCGTATTCTTTTGCTTTACCTACAATTTAAAAAAAATATATAGGTATATATATTTTTTAAGAACAACCAGAAATATACACTTTTTAAACAATTTTTCGTCCAGAAAATAACGTTTTGCCGATCAAGACTGAAAAGTAGACGTTAGGGCCGGTAACAGTACGTTACAAGATTGGAAAGTAATGTTTTTCAGGTAGATACAGGCAGATTCCAGGGAGAGCCGTAGGCGGACCCTGGAAGCTTGGAGAGACCTGCTTAACACTAATTTTTGATCGCGTGACGTACAATATTTTTTTTAAGACCGACACTTCGATGTAAACTCAATTATTTATTTTATTTATTAAAGTGATTAAAAAATACTAAAACTAGATAATGGATACAACACGCAATAAACTAAACAAATACATTATTTTTGAATATTTATGTTAAATGTACATTTCTAATGCTTCCAAAATTTCTTCTGAAATTTCATTTTCTATGTAATATAACTTAAAATCTGAATCCATATTTATAAATTTGCGAAAAAAAGTTTGACATAAACAACAAATTAAAAATTAATGAACTATAACTTAGCAATAAATGGAACGTTGTTACCATAGTAACAAAATCAAGGAATCAAATAGCGATCAGAAAAATGAAAAAGAAGGACAGGTAAAGCTTTTACGGATCCCTAACGTCTTTTTTCTGGTCTTGATCTGCAAAACGTTATTTTCTGTACGAAAAATTGTTCAGAAAGTGTATACTTTATGGTCGGTCTTAAAAAAGCTTTCCTACGACCATTTTGAAATTGTCAGTTAATGCACTGTTTTGACACTTCGAAAATGCCAAATATCATACGGGATCGGTAAAAAACGAAAAGGAGAAGACATTTCACACACGTGTGTGATATTATTTAAAAACGCACAGTATAGATTTAATTCATAATATAGCATAAAAAATTAGTAATTTATCTGAATATATTATTTTGGTTTATTCGATTTGTTCAAAAGATTATTAGATTTTGCAAGAAATAATTATTTACTTCTTAAATTACTTATTTGTATATCTAAAAAGTGTACGAAAGTTTTGTCAGCTCCTCATAAACTAAAACTATGTAACCAGTTATACAGTCGATGTCAGCTGATCAGTGGTTTGAAAATGTAAATAAATACTATTTAGAAATATATTTATGTTATGTTTTAAATTGTTAATGTGTTTATAAAAATTATTTCGAAACTTCTCAATAGTATAAGTGGCACTTTTTGTGTGAAAATTAACTAAAAATGGGATAAATAACCGCGACCCAAGATTCAAGTAAGTTATATTTAAAAATTACATCTAAGTATGCTATGATTACCTAGACCAGAAAACTTCTAATAAAAAAAAATGTGCTACATGTATTCTTCCTGTTAAACATAGTAGTTTGTGTTTAAAAATTATGGAAAATTTCGAAAGTGAAGGCTCAAATTACGTCGTTAAAGTTGTTGCCAGAAAAATCAAAAGGTACATCAATGCCTATAACCAATTTACGCAATGGAGAAAAGACAACGACATTAAGACTTCTTTTTCTGAAAATGTATTACTAACCAATTGTCCAAAAAAGTTCAACCAACAACTTTATGGACACAATACTCTATGCTTCGGAGTACCTTATATATTAACCATAACGTAGACATCAGTAAGTATTTAAAGTTGACGGCCTATCTTAAACGAACAAATGAAGGTTATATGCCAAAAAAAGCAAAAGTACTAACTCCTCAAGAAATTAATGAATATCTAGTTGAAACACCGGACAAAGATTACCTTTTTACAAAAGTAAGTTAGTAATTTTTTTCCTATATTTTATACTATCTTTTTAATCTATATTTTAGGTAGTGCTAGGAATAGGAATATCAGGTGCGTGCCGTAAACAGGAACTGAAACAACTAACTGTTGATGATATAAATGACTTGGGAAGTGTAGCAATAACTACGTTGAAAAATACCAAAAACCAAGCAACTAGAAAATTTATAATTACTGGCAATTTTTATGGGATATTTAAAAAATAAATTAATTTTTAAGGCCAAAAATGAATGAAAAATAGTTTTTTATAAATTATCAAAAAAAAAGATGCACCAGACAAGTAGTCGAAATAAATAAAATTGGCTGTGTACCACGGGAAAAAGCGAAATTTTTAAAATTAAAAAACCCAAATTTGTATACAGACGATCGTCTGCAACAACACTAGTCGACTCAGGTGAAGACATCACCTCTTTGAAGCGACATGGAGGCTGGAAGTCTTCAAATGTTGAAGAAGGTTACATCGAAGAGTCAATAGCAAAACGAATAAAAATATCAGAGAAAATAGTTGGGGCAATAACAGGTCCTTCAACTTCAACAGCAACAGAAAAAAATCTGGTTTTAGAGGAAACATACTCAAATAATATAGAAAAAAGTTCAGAATTGCACGACTTAAACGTTGAAAAAAATATACAAAATACTTTATTATCACATGTTTCTCAAACATCAATAAATGTTCACAACTGTTCCAATAATCATTTTACATTTAATTTTTATGGATCACATGACAACAATTAAACAAATGCTGTTTATTTTTTTAGTTTTAAGGTTAGAAATAAATTTTATAGTAGTATAATTAAATTGCTAATATCGACTAGTGTGCATTTGTTAACTGTTTGTAGATAGATTTATTTTCAATAAAAGTTCAATAAAAATTTTATTTTTTTAAATTCTAAAACTTCATTTTAAACCCTAAAATTATAAGATTTTATAAGATTTATAAAATAATCATTATTTAATAAAATTAAAAATGTATGAAGATTAAAAATGTTGGGGTCGTAGAAAAAATAGTGTAAATAACTCGGTTAAAAGTGTATTCCTTGCACTCGTTATGTTTCCGCACTCGCCCCTAAGCGGCACGTGCTAAACTTCAATCGTGCGTAATATATCACTTTCCACACTTGTTATGTAATATTACTGGTCCCTGTTTTTCATTTTTCTGATCGCTGGTTGAAAATACAGTCTGCCTTGATTTCGTCACTATGACAACAACGTTTCGATTTATAGTGATAGTTCGTTGATTTTTAATTTATTATTTATGTCAAATATGATTTCGCAAATTTTAATATCTGTATTCAGATTTTGAATTATCTGAGCATGTAGAGCTTTTAAGTCAGTTGTGACTAATTTTCTTGTAGAAAATTTCAAAAATCTTGTAAACTGAATTATTTAGTTTTTACAAAGGAATTGGATGAAATGTGTCTATAAAAATTCTTGTTTTTGTGTAGATTTGAAATAACCTATAGATTTATATAGTGGATAAAACCAATATTGTCTGCTATCGATTAAATTTAAAACATTAGACTTTTAATGTAATGATAATAAGCCAGATAGAAAAGAAAAATACGATACAGTGTAATTTGAAATTTTATTAATAAAGTATGTGAAGTAATTTATAAAGTTGAGAAGATGAATAGCCAAAGATGTAGAATTTAATAAAGAGCTAACCAGCGTACTAAAATTAAATTTCCTTTTAATAAATTTGAACATAAAAATATTACTCATACACAAAAGAGATGTCGATGGTCTTTGATCTTTCGTACCCTTTTAAATCAGTTGGTTTTGTACTAATTTTATATACAGTGCAAGTCAAAAGTATTGAACTAACAGAAATTATGGCTGGTATTAATAAAAATCAGTAGATACTTAATAATTACGATTTTATGAGTTAATACTGAAAACTATATTAATAAAGTTTAATTACAAACTGATACTTAAAGTATGTTCTGATCAGTGGCGGCTCGTGGGCACTAGCTGTAGTGGGGCACACACTGGAAAGGAATCACGGGATTCGTTTTTCCCTTAAGGAAACAAGTTCTCCGCTTAATGAAAATTAAATATATTTCAAAACAATCATCTGGGGCAATAACGATTTCTGAATGTGACTACAGGGAGCTAAATGTAACCACTCAAAATGCATTTAACTATGTGTGTTGCTATTTAATAAAAAAATCATTACATATCCACTCTTGCGAAATTTGCGTAAATTTCTCAGAAGAATGCAATTTACTTAACAATTCTAACTTGTTAACGCATTTTAAAGCATACGACTCTGAAGAAAAGATGTTTGCAATTTAAAATCTCCCAGCGTAAAATTTCTCTTTCATATATTCAAATTAGAAAAAATATTTATATCTCTATTTGATAGTTTGTCAACTAAGCCTGGAATTTCCAACGCATACCTTTTTGAGATGAGCAAAATAGAATTTGGTCATCCTTGCCAACAATTTGCGAAAATGTACACCATTAAATTATTTATAAGACTCAGAATTTTATATACTCTTAAATATGCAATCAGAGATTTGAAATCCTCGAAAAAGTCAGACAAAATAAAAAAAAAATAAAAATTTTGTCCCATTTATAAATATTATTGTTTTTTTTCATAATATTTTTGACTGCTTTATAAAAAAAAAGTTATTTTTCTTTGTAGTTTTATTTCTTAACTATTCCAATGGTCCAACTAACGTTTATTCGTAATTACAATAAATAAACTATTATCATGTTTCAACAAACGCGCACCTTCAGCCGAAACCAGCTAGCCTTTGTGAGGAAGCCGGTAAAGATGCCTCTGCGTACATTCATCTCTTGCTAAGCGATATTGTCGTTGTCCTTGTTTTTCGCATAATAATGAGAGAGAAAACAACAGAGGCACCCATTTACTGTGCCCATCTTCTTTCGGAATTCTTGGAACTCGGAACGTCACTCAACGCCCGGTCGTCTAGTGTCGTGCCAACGCGGTTTGCGCTGAATATTAGATAAAATAATAATAGGAAAATATAAAATATGTAAGTTATTTTTTTTTGTTTATTATACTAGGGCACGTGCCCAAGTGCCCTTACGGCAAACCGCCACTGGTTCTGATTGAGTATAAGTTTGTACTTATGCTGACCAGTTGTCACTTAAATCTATATTAATTAACGATAGGTTAGAAGATCCTCGTGATCAAGCAAGACTGCTCATGCATATATAAACAAGACGACGAAA